TATATAGTATCACGCAGCTGATATTGACGCTAGATCCTTGCCATAGCAGCTGTAGAAAACAGACATGATCTTGCTGATTACTGTACAATGTAAACATTGAAATAGCTTTTTAAGACTTTGACTTGACTTAATGATAGCGCACTATCGTTTAATTGATTGTATGTCTAACCATTTTAATTTATTCACTTTTTATTTTTATTTTATGTTACTATTATTAGTAGGGGACATTTCACAAACGGTACTGGGTAAAGGCAACGTGATTTACGTTTAGACCAATTTTCGCCTCATTTTTGCTATGCGAGCGCTCTACCTTGTATTTCCAGTATCTTTATTTTCAGAACATTGTTGCAACTTTCTATAGAACACAATATTAGGGTTTTTTACCCTCTCCTGATTTTTTAACACCATAGATGCTTAAAAAAAATTTATTGTAAGATATATTCATTTTTCATTAAAAAAAAAAGTAATTTTGGAAATCATGTAAGGTCTAGTGTTCGATGTCGAATAAGCCTTTATGAAACGTGTAGGCTGCCTACACTTTTACCTCTGACGATTAGTGCCAACAACTTCTTATAAAAACGTGATGTAATAATGACAAAATGATTATTATTGTTTATTTTCGGTAAATATTTCAGCGTCACCAAATTGCTTTGCTATTCTTCATTCTTTCTATGCTTCTTCATTATTTTCGTTAAATTTAATTTATTTTGAATACATATTTACTCATAATAATAATACAAATATATACCTATTTATATTAATATCATAATTACCAACAGATTACTTACACATACACTTTTATTTAATTTTTAAATACAGTTTTTTTGCATTTGGGCTAGTCTCTATACTTGTTCTATGTTAACATAATTAAAACTCTGTTCAATTTAAAGTCAAAGATATGCCCTGGTCTCGACTAGTCACAATCAGATTGGCTTATCTACATATGGCTTATGAATTTAAATTAAGTTGACTTTACACAGTACCGTTCGTTTTATTTTTTTCATATTGTCAAATAATTTTCAACTTTTACCACGGTATATAATTCATTTTAATCCCTTATCACTTTTCTGTATATATTGTATATTGTTAATTTAAATGTAATTTATATATTTTCCTGCACTGTATGTTTTGTTTTATATTTATAATTGTCTTGTTTTATCTCTTTCACTCCTGTCTTTTATTCATTACTAAAGCCAACCATGTTTTTTTTTGGTAGCAGTCTGTTCAAACGTCGGAAAAGCATTCAAGAGATTTGGTAACAGATATTGAAAGAAAAATCGGAACGTCGGCCATTGATGCTCAAGATGACGTACGTATAAGGCCAAAAAAATTGTTCTGTTGCCCTTAAATTCCGATTTTTTATTTTATTTGATTTATTTATTTATTTTTTGGTATTTTGAGTAATATTCCTGCCTGAGATAGGAAAGACGTCAAACTGGCGGGGTCTCTATTTATGAAGACACCAAGCCTAAGGCCTCGTAGGCACCACTAGAACGATAGCAAGCTTGTCAAACTATAAGATATAATGACGAAATAAATACTAACGTGTACATTAAAATAAACTTGACAAAAGTAAATCAGTTTAAGAAAGGTTTATTTGGTTTCGAAACGTAAAATAATTTGTGTATCCGATCCACACGATCACGCACGGGCAGGTTTTTTTGGTTTTTTTTTTAGCAAAACTAGCCTGGTTGTAAAACTGCTGAAATGAATTTTAGCGGGAAAAAAGTAAAGGAAAATTAATTTTTGGTTTTTCTGAATCAACATACCCTATAGTGTCTCAGAAAAAAAATCCCCATGCCTAGGGCTTGCTCTTATACACATCTAGATGTGTATACCTATTTTAAACTATTTAAAATGGGGGTAGGGGAAATAACTTTATGTTTTTGGTCACTTTTACATATACTGTGGATATGAAATGTATCAAAAACTTGGCTATATAGTTACTCATCACTCTCATTAAAAAATTTGATCGGAATAATGACGTCATCATGACAAATTCCAAGCTGGCGTCCATTATTGTGGGAAAAACTATGTTTTTAATGTAAAAATAATTTTATTGTTAT